TCATTCCGTGACCAAGACGAACTGACTAGTCGTCGAAAATTCGGAGGTATGTACCTTAGGATTTAATAGTCACTGATTGAAAGAATTATCTTACTGAACTTGTACTATACGTGACTGATGAACCTCTTCAACGATAACATAATTCAGAAAACAAAACTTTTCATGATTTCATTTTGAGAAAACCACAAACTTCAAAACACTATACTGATTTTTACACAGTACATGTACTTTTTTGTTCGCGGTTTTTACAGTCATTTTTGTGCCGCAAACTTATCATAACCGTTAACAAATAATTTGCCAGCCACCACAGATGTGTGGTTCCGTAAACATCTCTATTTTTCTCAGACCATGAACTTTTTGCTATCGTGATCATAAAGTGAATGACAGTATGGTATCTACATGACCATTCTCTGAAGGATATCCCATGTTTTGGGGTTAACACTCTGTCTTTGTTAATGAAAATTTCTATTTGTTGTTTCTTCATCACAGCAAGGTGGAACCCAAAAAGCCTGCGGATGCCGAGGTTGCCATGGAAACAGAAGAAGCCCCGCCCGAGATGCCAGGAAACAAAGAGGAAGGAGACAAGGAAAAAGGTGGAGGTGACGTCAGTGTGGAGGTAAGCCAGCCACAGGTCAGAGGGCAATAAAACTACTGTAGAGGGAAGGAGCAACACACGTCATTGCAGAATTAAATCTTAGGTTTAACTGAATGATAGGTAGGGGGACAAAATTGCACTTGTTGTTGAGTAAATAATGACAATTTTATTTGTGATTGAATGCATCAACTGTGAAGGGTTTTAGATTCCACTGTTTGTAGGCAAAATTTTGTACATTATTGTTAACATTGTGGGGATCAGTTTTGACAATTTCGTATAGAAACCGAAAAAATTTTTATGAAAATATACTGGAAAAACATTTGTTTTGGAATGCATTGATGTGTCAGATCTTTGCACTGATTCATGATTCTAAAGCAGATTTGTTGAAATGTTGTGAAATGCAGTCTATTTGATTGAGCAGCAGTGTTAGGTGTTTGTGGGTCAGCTATATGCTAGGTCTCCTTCCCTCACAAGTGTGTTAATGTTACCATTGGTGTTTGTACCAAAGTCAGAGTGGATGGGTCTAGTCGGCAAACGCGTCGCTCCTGAAATTTGGCGAGGGGACCTGCCGGCCCAACCCCCCGCCCTTGCCTCCGCGGACACCCGCTGGACATGGGTTAAACAGCAGTGCCACGCTGTGTGCTGATTGGTTGCCGAGTTGCAGTTGGAGTTTTCCGAGAAGCGGCGAGCACTGTGCTCGACTGCCAACGTGCTGTAAGGGGACCAGCTGGTCCTGGCAGCTGTGGCTCTTTGCCATGGAGAGGAGAAAAAAATATCTGTTGATAAAACCCAAGAGAACTTTGCCTCCGATACTGACAGGGAATTTGTCTCTGTTGCAAGTAAGAAGACTAAATATCAACAGAAAAGAAACGTTGAAGCATCAAGAATGAATTCTGGAAGCTGCAGCAGTTACTGGACTTGAACCTACCAACTTGCAATCAACATGCAAGACTGAAATATCAGTTCCATTCTGTCGACCAAACGTTGATGCTCAGATCATCTTGGACCTTGTTACGTACTGGATCATACAACATGAGAGCAACTATCGAAGCAATTCAAGGAACGCAGCTTTGTTTGCCACACTGTATAACACCTGGACTTCTTTTGGCTGCACTAATTTCCACCTGTGTGATTGGTGCAGTGAAGAGGATTACCTGTGGCAAAAGAACATTGCGACTCAATGGATTAACAAAGAAACAAACAACTGACAGATTCCACACTGACTATTGTTGCTACAAACTGTTAACATGTTGTCATAGACAACAGAATAAGACTGGACAGGAAAATAAGCAAAGTCTGTGTGGAACATGTTGTACCCTGCTGCCAGAAACCCGTGCCACCACTCATGTCAGTACACAAGTGAACTTACACACGTCTGCTACACCGGTGACGCTATAACAAAACTGGTGTAGTGAAGAGGAGCGCCGTGGTGGCACGGCCGCGGCAGGGCGGACGGTCGTACGACGTGGCACTGGCGTAGAGCGAGGCACCCGCACCCCTCACCTTTTGTAGCGAATGTTCCCCCGGTCGGATCCCAGGCTGCTGATTGGCCCACCTTATTTCGGCCCGTTTGGGTTTTCTGAAGCTGTAGTATCATGCGACGTCAGGCAGGGGGCGTCACTGAGGTTTGGATGGATGCATCAAACATGACCTGCTATTTATATCTCCTATTTTTTTGTTGTTCCTTTTTTTTTCTTTTTGCTAACATAATCATTTTTGTTTGAGGCAGGGTTGCAGTGAATCAGTTTGTGGTGAAAATGTTGAAAAGAAATGACTACTAGTAGCAACAAAATCATGAATTAGGCTAGGTCCCTTGCGAAAAGTATAATTACTGCATGATCTATCGTAAATGCTTTTAGAAAAATTGCAAAAAAATTGCTATTTTACAAAGGCGGGTCAAAAGAAAAATGCCTAAAACATATTCAGTGTTAGAATGATTTCAATTCAGGTAGAAGAACCTGTTGTCAGAATTAGAAGTCTGTCAAGAACAAATTTAAATCTAAGAAACATGATTAAGATAAGATTTTGAACCCAATTCATAAATCGTAACAACCATATTCTCACAAAGGTTCGAAGCAGTTTTTTCTGGGGGCATTGAGAGATGTCCATAATAAAACATGATGTTTACAACATTTTATATACACTGTACTAAGAACACAATCAGTCAATGTTCACAGAAGCTTGATTTTCCTCTCCAAACCCATCCTCAAGATGTCTCTGGAAAAATCTGCTACATTTTTTAGTATTTTTACACCAAGTTTATAACCCCTGTTAAAGTTGAATGAGCCTATAAGCTGCTGTTTCCACCTGTAATGCATTACTGTTGTTTTTCCTACAGAAAGCTGAGATTCAGCCTGTGGTGTTCAAGAGCAGGAAGATCTCCATTGCCTGTAAGACAACTTTATTCATTATTCCCTCCAATTGACTTTATGTTTATAGCGAGAAATGTAAAAATTAGATAGATATTGTTGATAATGAGAACATTTCATTACGTTTGTCGTCGTATACTACATTTCATGGTGATGTAATGAGACATGTTGGAATCCTGCAGCACGGAAGCACTCCACAGAGGGCGCTGCTGATCAACAGCCGGCCCAGCCGGGAGGGCGGAAGCGTCGCTGGGGCTCCAGCAGCTCATCCGGTACTGTGAAGAGAACCATCAACATCAGCTCACAGTCACTCAAGGTAGGGATGGGGGTTTGCACCAGGGCAGAATCAAAGACAACCATGGCAAGTGGCCTCCACTAGGAGAAATAATACTGTTATTTGTACAGGAAAGTTGACAAAAGACAAAATCAGAACAGCAAAGAGAGAAGAAAAGTAACTCAGATCAGATAAAATAACTCTGAAGAGAACAGCTACCTCTGAAGAGAGAATTCCGATGAGGGGCAGTAACTCAGTTATTCGTTCTCAAAAAAAAATTGCACAAGGAATAGAAATTTAACAAAGAGAAGAGAAAGTGTACAACAAAAATAGGTACTAATCTAAGACTTCCAATCTTTCTGTAGGAGGTCCTGCCTGAGATCAAGCCGTCCGTCCTGAAGGAGGCAGTCGTTGACCTGGGGACAGATGAAGGACCCATCAGTGACGAGGAGCCTCCTCTCAAGATGGAGCCTGAGGAGATCCAGGGAGACAAGAGGGAGATCAAGATCCGCAGGACTGTCACACAGGTCAGTGCAGGAAAACTACTCCTTCTTGGTAGTGAAAAGATTGAGTTCCATTTTACTAAACAACTCAATGCATTATGTGTAAATTTTCTAAACGTCTCTACCTACAGGAGGAACCCATGCAGGACAAGAGAGAGATCAAGATATGCCGAACAGTCACCCAGGTCAGCTGCTCTTCTGGTGTAGTACAGTAGATGTGGGGGGGCAATATATGATTTAAGGCTTTAAGTATTAAATATTGCACTGTCATTTGGTAGGGAGCTCACTGTTTTAAAATCCATTATTCTCGTTGTTGAATCTAGGCTAATGGCAATGTTGCTTAGCAAAAGAACTGGAAGCAAAGCGTAGTGTAAGAAGTGATAATGTTTTATTATGTGAATATCATGCTGTCGTGTCTGGGCTGTTCCAGGTGGTGCAGGCCCCCCCTCCGGAGGAGAAGGAGAACGGTGAGGGGGAGGCGGAGCCTGAGGTTGCCATGGAAACAGATCAGAGCCAACAGGAGGAGAGGAAAGGTAGGGAGACTTTAGTGGGGAATATCTTTTGTTAAGTTTCTGCTTCTAGCAAACAATGAAACCCATTATTAACAACATAATGTACTCTGTAGTAGGACTGTGTACCTACTAAACACATGCCTCTACCTGTCAAACAAGTAGGTACAGGTCCAGACCTGAACATTTGGTGCACCTGTAACAAAATATTACACTAAAAATAGGTAAATTGTATCTCAAACTCAAAGATGACAGGTACCTATACAGATCTGAACTTGTTCCTTTAGTCTTTAGTAGTGTGGAGCATGCTTTTGCACCCTCAGTTCAAAATTGCACTGTGGAAGCCAACCTCTTGCAAAATCTCTAAATTTCAGTATAGGTTTACATTTTGTGTCATGCACAGCTTGAAAAGCTGATTGATTTTACCATCCATGTACATCTGCCCAGCTTAAATGCTCCTTGTTGGTTCTCCAGTTGTCCCAAGTGAAGAGGTAGTCCGTAAGGCTGTGTCCCGCCAGTCCTCGCTGGTGGTTGATGATCCGGTGGAGCCAACACGTTCCCCGTCCCCCGCGCGCCGTCCCGTCAGCCAGATCGTACACATCCTGCACCTGGTGCGACCGTTCACCCTGGGTCAGCTGAAGGAACTGCTGGGACGGACAGGAACCATCGTGGAGGACAAGGGCTTCTGGATCGACAAGATCAAATCACACTGCTTCGTCAAGGTGGGAGGACTTCTATGGATTACGCTAGGTTTATGTTGTGGTGTGTATATAGTGGCCAAGGAGAGCACGTCAGCAGAATGTACTGCTTAACACTCGTATTTGTACAGTACTTTGGTAGAATGACTTGTCTAAGAATTACAGTTGACGTCCCATCAACAGTTTACAAATGTTGTGTTGGAAGAGAAATCGGGCAAAATTCTGATGCAATGTTCACTAACAAAATCCATGAAAAATCTCAGTTTTGCACAGACACAGTACGTTCTGCTGATGTGCTGCCTAGCAGTCAGTACACTTGGTATATTAACAACAGAGTTAACTAAAGAAACACTGCAACCATTTGTTTTAATTGTTGACGTTGTTTGTCCTAACTTGTTGTTATTTGTGCTCCCTCAGTATGAGTCAGAAGAAGAGGCAGTGAAGACCCGTCAGGCCCTACACGGGGTGCGCTGGCCATCCTCCAACCCTAAAACTCTACTGGTGGACTTTGCAGACCAGGATGAGGTACGGTACATTCAGCACTTAAAAACCCTCTACAAAAAGCATTACAATTTGTCAGTGAAGATTATCAGACACCCAGAGATAAACTCATAATTCTGTGTTTTACATCCAATTTGCTTTAGTATGTAATTCCATCATTTTCCCCCAGCTGGACATTCATCTGGGCGTGGTGCAGGAGAAGCGAGAGGTGTTGAAACCCGAGCCTACCTGGGACGAGCGCCGTCGGGACAGACGCGTGTCTGAACGAGAGAAGGACATCAGGGAGGAACGGGCGGAACACGAGAGGGAGAGAGAACACAGGTACAATATTCCATGGGTTACCATCACACAGTCACGCTCATTTTTTCCTGCAGATTTGTAATTGTTGTTTACCTTTGAAAAAGGAAAATATGTTTACCTTTGTGAGACCATGTGAAGGTAAAAATTATGAGCAAACATAACCTTTCTAGTTTGTAACTTTAGTCCATATGGGTGGAAGATTTGTTGTGAATGTAAAAGACACCGTAGTTGTGTACTTTCCCTGATTAGTATCTAACTTATTTTACAGAGCCAGAGAGAGGGAGTGGGATAGAGGGAAGGAGAGAGACCGAGAGGCCTCCAGGGAGAGGGAGCGAGAGAGAGAACGGGAGAGAGAACGGGAGAGGAAGAGGAGGGACAGAGAGAAGAGGGAAGGTCCAGAGAAGAAGAAAGGTAATTTGCTGATCTCTGTTAGCTCTTATCAAGGGTAAGGTCTTGCAATTCATTAGCACATATGTTGCAGAAAACACTTCCGTTTATTTCTTCAGAAGTGCATTTACATATGACTGACATGTCTGTACATTGTCGTGTTACAGAGAAAGAACCAGACGAGGCGCCTGCCAAGCTGCTGGATGACCTGTTCAGGAAGACCAAGGCTGTTCCCTGTATTTATTGGTTACCGCTCACTGATGAGCAGGTACTCGAACGCGTTAGTCACCCCCTTTATTTCTTTTCATAGATTAGAATAAAATAATGAATGACTGGGTGGAGGGTATGTTGATGAATGGATGGATGGAAATTTTTTATTTCATTTGAGATGAAAACTTCTGAAGCATGGTAGAGCATCCAGTAAGTTCAATGAGACGTAACCTTCAAGCAGATGCTGAGGAGGAAAATTGTAATGTTTTTTGCAGGCAGGATTTGTTGACACTCCCAACCGACCTGTCCAAAATCTTTACAATTTTCCACCCCCAACATCTGCTTGGAGATTGATGGGGCCAACATCTAAAGACTGGATATTTGTAAAAATGGAAGTAAACAAACGTACACAAGAACTTGAAAAATTTCAGTATATTATGTCTTAACCTAAGGCAGTAGAAGTAAAAGTGCCTACAATGTTCCAGGATAACTGTGTAGTTGTTGTGTTTCACAGATTGCTTCTAAGGCTAAAGAAGAGGAGGACAGGGAAAGAGCTCGCGAGGAACGTCGGGAGAAGCTACGCAAGGAGCGAGAAGAACGGGAAGAGCAGGAACGCAAGGAGCGCGAGAAGCGGCGAGAGGAACGCCGCAAGCGTGAGGAGGAACGGAGCCGGGAACGTGAACGGGAGAGGAAGCGGAGTCGTAGCAGAAGCGGTAGCCGCAGTCGCAGTAGAAGTAGGTCTCGGAGGAAGCATTAGGGTTTTCCAGATGTAAGTTTGTGTGAAAAAAAAACATGCTCTGGTGACTTAATACAGCTGAGACATGTTTGTAAGATACTCAACTTTTTGATTCCCTCTAAAATAGCAAATACCACAGTGTGATAATGTTAGGTCTATGGTGTAAGGCAATGTATCAACTATGATTCCTGAAAATATTGGGTAGAAGTTTTCTTTCTTCTTGTCCTGGTGACTTCTGAGTACTGATTTTTAATATGTTTGTTTACTTGTCACACATAATGAACATGTCATTCCCATTGGTACCTTTTTCTCAACCTTACGTTGTTTATACCAGAAGGAGTTTACATGTATTGAAGGAGTGTGTGAATGAGTGAGTGGGTGGGTGGGTGGGTGGGTGGTTGAGGGTGGTTTTTAAGTTGAAGACTTGTACAGAATTTTGGTTGAAACTATAGCATCACTTTTCTACCATCTTGTACTATTGAGAAGTATCCTTAATACTAGACTTCTAGGCTGTGACTATTCCATCACATACATGTTGACCAAGATCTATTTGCTTTATGTCTAAGGTAAACTAGGTACTAGTACATGGTAAGTGACCATGCAAAAAGGTGGAAAGTCATAACAATAAGACAACAAAAAAAGGTAATCAGATTGTGGTGTCTGGATTTTTGTTTAACTAGTTGTAAGGACTTCATTTTCAATTGCAAATCAGAACACTGAATATCATCAGAATATGAGTTACATCTGATTCTAGTATAATAGTGAACAAACCATTTCTACCATCTACAATGATGTCCTTAAAATCGTTACCAGAAATTATGACTTTTCTCCCTTCACTTGGCTGAAAATTAGACACCTACCCGTAATGTGGTTTGAAATTTGAAATTACAAGTTCAAGTGTAGAAATTTCTGCGAACACATTGACTTTAGTCTTCCTTGATAGTGGAGAGAAAATGTGTAGAACTACTTAGCACATGTACTAAGTACATGTACAAAATATTTGGCACTGTATTATCAGTCATAGAAAATCACCATCATTTTGATAATAATTATGCAAAGCAGCAGGCTTTCTATTACGATTTGTGATTGTGTACCAAAATTAGCAGTTGTGTTCAAATTTACTTACAAAGGTTGAAGGCAATGTCGTAATGTTTTTAATTGCACTTTAGATTTTGAAATTGGCTGACTTGTACATGATGTTACATAAGTAAGTTTGATTTCTTTGGAAATATGAACCGGATAGTGTTGTTTACAAAAAATGATGTCAATGAGAAAGGTGAATAAAGGTTATTCGTTTTGTACAATGTGTCTTCTAGTGGTTGTTTTTGATAGTGCCAAAAACATTTGCCAAAAGTATAAGTACGTTCCATGATCTTCCATCTATGCAAAGCTAACCCTGTCACTGGTATGTAACGTTACATGTGATTGCTATGTGTGTGTATAAAACGTCATAGCACGAGTAAAATGGCATCAGAACACCGATCGAACAGGACATTCTATCAGGTTCGAGTTACGGAATCTCGAATTCTAGAACCGCCATTCGAAACCGTTTTCGAACGTGCCCACTGTAACATTCGAAACTCTTCATATCTTGATAAGTTGTGTCTGTTCTTCATAGCTCCCATCCTCGTAAACCTTCTAGTCGGGTTTACCTGCAGCCATGGCTCTACTTGGTGGTCTGAAATTCCCCGAAGTTCTGTGGCGTATAGTCAACGACGACCGGTTCGATTCCATCAACTGGTCAGAGGAAGGGACAAGCATCATTGTCCGTGAACAGGACTTCATGGAAGAGGTTCTAGAGTCGGAGGGCGAGAAGAAAGTATTCCAAACGAATTCCTTTGCCAGCTTCATCAGGAATCTCAATTTTTACGGCTTTGCCTGTCGCCGGATCGCCACAGAGAACGAGAACGCTATCCACTCGTGCTTCTGTCCGTACTTCCGACGGGACCGGCCCGAACTGAGGTCTCGGGTTTCCCGCGGCCCAAACTCCCGACGATGGATGGCGCTTTTCGATGCAGATGGAACACCCAGAGAGGGCGTAAAGGGGGTGTTGGATGACCTTACAACAAACAACGGGAACAAGAGAAGAAGTTTGTTCACTGATGTCAAGCGGGACGAAGATTTAGCGGCCAAGTATGTGCGAATCGCACCCAAATCCTGTACTTCTTCTGCAGCGCTGCTGCTTGGAGAACACAATATCAGCGACGCCGCTCCAAAAGTTCTCCGAGAACCGGCCATCCAACCACGCCGCTTATCTTCTCTTCGTCCTCCGAGCCCGTCACTCAAAAAGCTCGTCCACGATGCTCTGGAAATCCCGACGACACAACCAATGATGACACAGCTGCCTGTGGTACTGATACCCCAGCAACAACAGAGCTCTCAGCCGGGCCAAATCGTGTACATGCTGCCTATAATCGTGCAGCAGAGTCCGTTAGAGATGGCCACCACTGCTGTTCAGACCACCGCAACTTTACCGACAGAAACCTGCTTCACCAGCAATGTCGTCACACAGATGCCAACGTCCGCCCAGAGAGATCTTCCCAGATCACCAACGTCACAAGAGGATTCTCCCGCCGTTGTCACCACTGAAGGTCATCCCACGAAAACGTCGACGTACGACGACGCCACGTTGGAGATGACGTGCGAAGATGTCACCGTAACGTCTGCACGAGACAAGCCGCTGACCAGGCCCGGGAAAATCGTCCGCAGAGCCGGCAGGAACCAGGCGAGAACAACCCGCGTCTTCATGCATCCCATCGATGAAGAGGGCGACGCGGAACTGTAAGACATCAAAGTGTATACCATGCCGACAGATTGCTGTTTGCCTGCCGGTAGTACCACGATCAAATATTTTGATTGAAGTAAGGAAAGCTACATGTAGATGGGTATATACAGGTGCGATGATAGCGGGTGCTATGTTCTTTTTTTAATTGGAAACTTGAATAGAAAAAAGTTTCATTTCAGAACCTGTTACCCGGTTGTTACTATGTCTAGTTGAGATACGCTAAGGTTACACAACGTTAAACGTTGTTGAACAGAAACATTTATATACTAGTAGTATAGTATAATATCCAGCTCTTGAGACGTGTTTAATTGTAGACCTGGAAAAGCTTGTAGACGACATCGTTCTTCATTTGAGTCACTGACAATAGTCTTGTTACTTACACGCTTGCCATTGACCTGTTGTTAATTGTTTCTGCTGACTTATTATACACATGGTACACGAATATGTTTCTATGCAAACGTTGGGCAGTTCCACATAATTGGTCATATATGCCATATACCAACGCCATTGGACCAGTAATAAAGTTGCCTTCTCTTGTGGAATCTTTTATTTTCCTTGCAATAAATGATAGTTTTCAATGTGTCAGATGCTTTGGAAGTGATGTTGTCCTTTCTAATGAGTGCACTTCAATATGTAGTGGGTTTGAAAACATGGATGTAAAAACAAACGTCTACTTTAGATCAGTCGGCGGATGTATCGAACACTATTTGGAAACCAGGCGTGACCGGACCGGCGTGACCTGCCCACCGTGACCCAGGAAGTACTTTACAGACCCGGAAGTATATGTTTTTACTATTTGCGCTGAGATTCTGGCGGGGAGTTTGATGCAAACATTCTGGTAGAAACGCCCTAAAACAACCGGATTTAGGTGGGTTTAGCTCTCTTCAATTCACTGAGCTTCACTTTGATGTGTCTACGCCTATATTGTTGATAAGATTGGCCGTTTGGGTGTATTTTTGTGACGTTACGTCGTTTGTTTACGTCAGGATTATGATCGGTTTGGCAGCTCTCTGTCGTTACACAAATTACATTAAATGGATTGCGAAGTATTTGCTATATAACGGCCTATATAACGTCGCGTTGGAGGAACTAGGTTCGAAAAACACAAAATGTATGTTGCCATTCGTGTTTTGCTTTAATACTTATGATAATTGTTGATATATGTGATGTTTACTTGCTGTAAATTATGTACGATTTACATAATCGCTTTCATATCACTAGGACCAGGAAGAAATTTGATATAGGTTGGGTTTATGTAAAAAAAATTATGTATACATTTGTCATGATTGTATAACCGTTACATATGTCCTAAAAATCTTCCCCTACTCTATCATAGATGGGGCAGAGATACCGTGCAGCTCTTTTCCATTGCTGATTCTAAAAAAATAATTGTCATTCTAGAACTGCAGAATTCATAATGAGGAATGAAAAGGAATAGTTATGATTAATGAGATAGCAATTATGATGAATACCACACAACCTTTTGATTAGACCATTTTCAATAGCTAATATGTGTAGTACTTTGAATCAAGATGCTTTTTTGCTTTTAATAAAGTTGACCACAGTGCAATTCAGGCAACCAGTGACTTAAATGTGTCCTAGAATTCCTGTGAGTCTGTTGTCTGTCTGTAAACACTGTATATATTTATGTATTTATATATGTTCTGAATAAAGCATTTATTGATAAACCTAATGATTGGTTTAATAGTTCACAGTTACTCCTACAGTGAAAGAGAGACAGTCCCTGCAGTGTAGAACTAAACAACATGTCAGGACAGGACCTGGTCAGACAGGAGCTCACCAGCTTCATGCAGACACATCTCGGGGGAGTCAGTCTGGAGTAAGTACTGGAAATTCTTCAATCTTTGCAGCTGTCATTATGATAGTGACCTTTTGCTACGTACTCAAGATGAATCACTACGTCTTGTAAAACATATATTCAGTCATCCATATAGAATACTACATGGTGTATTCCGTATCCCCTGAGGTGTCAGCCCAACTCGACCATGATGCAGAATACATTGTGTTGTATTTTATTTATGCCATGCCCGTCCTACAAAATGTGCTAGAAATCGAAAAATTGTAACAGCATCAATTCTAACATTCAAAATCGGTATATAGAATTTTGGAAAGCGTTGCATGCAGTGCATGTAAAAGGTGTTCAGATTATTGAATTCTTGGGACATTTGGAAGTCTGTGTGATAACTATTAGAACTCCATGTGATACAGCTACTAGTAGTTACTGGTACCACACAGGCTTGAACACCCATGTCAAACATTAACATGTCTCATAGTGAACATGTTTTTCTTTCCTGAGCAGCTGTGTAGACGAGATTGTGCTGCAGTACATGACAGGTGTGCTAGAGGACCTCGGGTCACCAGACTCCTCAGAAGACAGCTTCGATGTGGACCAGTTTGTGGAGATGATGGAGGCCTACCAGCCTGGCTTTGGGCAAATCGACAGCATCCAAGTGTGTGAGTGGATGTTTAATCTGGCTGGAAAGCTGGCACAGGCAAGAGAAAAAGGTAATACCGTGGAAAAATATCTTCCTCTTAATTTAAAAGAACAATTTGAGCTCTCAAATCATAGGTATATCCACTCGTAATAACATTACAATGTTTCTTTTCACAGAAAATACTCCACCCCCAACTAGAAGCGGCACTGATGATTCAACAAAGCCTCTGAAAACAAAGATGTCATCTAAAAGACCAGAGGTTGCACAAGATAACACAAGGCTAGGCAAGGAGAAGAGCAGTAAAAATCAGGTAGATTTTTGGAATGTATTTTCCTATCAATCAAAAATCATAAAATTTGTATACTGACAATTTTTCAACTTCTCATCACTAACTAAATTCCTCAGTTAATAATAGTAATACATGTGTACTTTAAAAAAATAATTATAACATAGTTGCTATCACTACCATGTCCACAGGACAAGACTGCGGAAGCAGAGGGAGAAGACAGGGAGAGTTTACAGGAGTTTGAGGAGCAGGTGCGCCTCCTGTGTGAGATGTTCCCCGCCTGCGCCAGTCTGGAGGCGAAGCACTGTCTGGTGGTGGCTAACGGTGACATGGAGCACGCTGTACAGCTGGTCATGGAGAGACAACAGTCGGGGGAGTGTATGCAGGTATTAGTCTATTTTTCTGCATGCCTATATTAATGTAAGTCACTAGGATAGGTGTTATCTTTTAATGATACCATTTGCTGCTTTTATTTCATCAAGCATTTTTATGATAATCCTCACCAAGTTTCACTAATACCTGCAGGCTTACCAACCAGGGAAAAAGAGGCAGGCTCTCAGAAGTCAAGACGATGGGCATCTTAAGAAGGACATTATAGCAAAGTAAGAGGCAACAGCTACTCATAGTTTATTCCTGCGCTATTCTGTTAACAGATATTGTTGACTCTCAGTTTCAAAAGTCTTTTTCAACCTCCTTATTCTTGAAGCCATTTGCTGCAGTTGTGTAATGTCTGTTACTGTTACAGTAAAATTTGTACATCGGCAAAGTTGATACATTTTTTATGTGTGCTTCATGATGATGTGATGTTTTTTTTCCTCAGATACTCTTACGTAGATGTTGATGATGACATGAGAGAACACCGACCAATAGCTCCAAAATCAGTGAGTATCTTCTGTTTCCTGATAGGTTTCAGTTTTTTTGTAGCTCTGATCAAAACAAAAACTGACTCATGGTGACTTACACATTCTTTTGTTCATTTTCTACAATGAGGGCCCTATATGGCGTAAAGAAATGTTTGGAAGGTAGCGTTCTTGTCTTTGTTGTTGCTGATTTCTTCTCATTTTTCTTCAGGAACCCAAAAAACTTGTTCGCTACCTGAACAACGAGGTGGTGAGCAAGAAGGGGGAACGTTACACCGAGGTCAAGTCACCCGAGACGGAGGACATGAAAAAAACTTACGTCAACCTAAAACCTGCCAGGAAGTACCGCTTTCACTAATGGGAGTTATCTCACCAACCAAAAACAAGGTGTTTTTATTGTGACAAATTATGCCTAGGAAAAAAATGTTGTGTTTCCTGTTTCCCGACCGACCCTAGCCTTTTTTTGTGCAAGGGACATACATTTTTGAGGTGATCGACCTTTTCTAGCTGTATGATCTGACATCCAAGGGATGGAACTTTGTACAATCGCTTTCCCAACATTGGCATTGAAATTGTGTTGGCATGAAATTTTTACTTTGTTAAACTGTATTGTATAAGTTGGATCACTAGATTATCAAAGTCAAAAAAAGAAAAAAAAGAGAATCCTTACCTTCAGACCCTAATTTTCTTAAGGACCGAGACATGAAACACAACATTTTTTTCCAAGGCCTTAACTTGGTGAATGGAAGGCTGGATGAATCCTTATTATAGTATCGCTGGTTATGTAACGTGCATGGCTGAATAGCTGTGTTCAAAGATGGGTTAAGCACACAGTATTAGTTCTGGTGTCACTTATGTTGCAGTTAAGGAATCTTATGCACTGTTTTTTTATTTCTTTTACATCTTTGGGAAACAGTCTACCTTTCTGTGTATTTCTGGTTTGTACATTGCAGCAAGACAATATTTATCGAGTTCTTAGTTATTTAGTTTAACAAAGGTTGACATTTGTTTACCATTTCTTTTAAAGGCATCCAATGCAATTTCACGGCAGCAAAACAGAAAAAGTCTGGATGAGTAAATCTGTCTGATATTAACATTTACCACCAATTCTTAGCACATTTTTATCATCATTACATACTGTCATACTTATAGTTATGTTATACTTATATAATAGCCCCCAAACAAGCTATGTGAGGCAACATTGCATTTTCGCCTCAAAGATATCAGACTGCAATGGGATGAGATTGAAAATTTCTACATTTAAAACAATGACCAGCAATTTGACTTTGAAAATCTAGTTTTCCTGTCCTAAAATTGCATTGGATGCCTTTAACTCTATGTAAGGAACATAAAGACCACAGTAAACCAGTCAATCGTCCGCAGGCTTAATATCACAGTCAGTAATAGGAGTATATTTGCAGCTAAGGACCTTCCAGTCACAATAGTCTTCCTACGTAGAGGCATGCACATGTACTACATTCATCTTGCATGGTCTCTTTTCAACAGTCAAAACAAAATCAATGGATACAGGGTAGTACATGTACCTGATATTGAAAAACATTGTTAGAACACATCAAATAAGTAGTTGGTTGAAGTTCAATGGTGATGCAGTGTTGGCTACCTCCTGTCATAAAGAATGCATATGACTCTGCAGGTCAAAATTAGAGCTGTCCATTATGTAACTTATAAGACGTAAAAGATACAAACTATTAGGTATATCAAGGTTGATGCAACCCTTCATACAGAGACTCTAAGGTGTGCTTCACCTCATGTAGTGTTGTTGTTGCCTGGAATCTAGTCTTGATACGTAGCTTTAGTTTGCTTGACAAAAGACAAAAAGTACATTGTAACAAGACTGGGTTCCAGGCTAGTGTCATTGTATAATCCACAGAAGAGCGGGCATTGTAGATAAATTATCATTACACTACCTGTATTGTAGTACATGTATCACTAGATAACTGTAGAAGTTCTAGTAGAGATGTGAATAACTTTGTCAGGTGGATAGGTCATTGGAAAGTTCACGACCTAAAAAATATTTGCCTGGTCAACATTTCAGTAACTCCTCAGCTATCTTCCTTGATGCACTACTACTTCTTCCCACTAGATGGCACTGTGTCAAGAATATGGTCCCAAACATAGTACATGTACATGTATAATGTAGTAGTGCAATGACAGACCCGGAGCTACCAAAAATTTGGCCAGAAAAATGTCTTTTAGGTTGTATCATAACAATGTATACTTTCTGATGTTGTAGTATGTGTGAACAATGATAGCTAGAATTGGGAACTGTTTTGCATGCAGACTACAAACTGAAATCAAACCAAGACTCAAAAACTCTTATGCAACAAGAAGATGCAACATTTGTACAACAGAAGCACATTTGTGCTGTTGTGTCATAGTCAGAACATTAATTTTGTAATAAAAACAACAATGGCCTTTCAACCAAAAGCAATAATCACTAGTACAGTATAAGAGTTGTGGTACATATTGATAAAATAAAAGTGTACTGTACAGATCACCTATACCTTAGTATATGTACCAGAATTGTTTATTATAGTACTCAGGTGCTAGTATTGGACTTGGCAATGGTTGACACATTTAACAAATCCATGAACATGTATCTGGTAAATAGTGTAGGGTATAGTACTAGTAGATAAGAAGTCTGACTCACATGTGAATCACTTATTGTGAACATTTGTCACATGAATAAAGAATTTAAAGTGAAACGCTCTTCCAGTGTCTTTGAGAGAAGATACATATACCGGTATACCAGTAGATGGTGTGACAAGGACATATGGCCATAATCATGGAGTTAAAAGACACTGTTGTTTTTCTACCTCCATGGTATTATGCATACACATATTGAGTTAGTGGGGGGGAAGCCATAGTATAAAATGTACAACATCTTAGATCTACATGTATCCAAATGTGCAGGTTTTTTGCAAAAGCAACCAAGAGATCTAAACAAAACAAAAATGTCCTTCACCAGTCCTATGGGCAGTATCATACATGACCTTTTAACGACATTACTAGTAACAGTCACCTGACAACCTAACATGGCTTAAAACCGTAACAGGTGATGTGTTTTTGTGCCCCTTTCAGATACGGTACGTAGATACGTGCTACAGGGCACACAGGCACACGTGTATGATAGTCCTTTTTAACGTTAGGCAGGGTGGCCTTCAAGTCTCTCCAGGCATCAGCAGATCTGTCGTACACATACACCTTGTAGTCGTATAATGGCCCTTGTTTGTAATCGTCATAGGTTTGTAAGAATATGTGCAGCTGGTTGTCCAATATGAAAAAGCTGGGGAGGTGACTTATAGCAAGGTACCCTGGGTTTGTCCAGCTTTGCAGTTCCTGCCAGCAATCAGACTCTGTGTCGTACACTTTAGTCTTAGTGAAGTGAAAATTAGTGCAGAAAATCTCTGGTCCCACGGCAGCAGCTATGACCCATCGGTCATCATGATCATCATGACACCTGAAGTTGGGTGGAGTTCTCTTGCACCAACAATCCTGGCTGGGATCGTAGCGATACATTGCTGAGTTCGTGAGGAAATAGAGGTACGGGCCACAGGACACGGCAGTGCTGTTATCCCATTGTCCATCAAGTAGCAGCTGTGAACACTCCTGCCACTGGTCCATACGCTGGTCGTACTTTTTCATCCGCACCAACGCACTGACTTCTCCTAGATCAGCAGCATGGTAATATAAAATTCCATCCACTTCAAGAAGGAGCTCCTCCATGTGAGTAAACATACCTGAGTATTCCCTCTTGAACCGAGCTACTGAGGACATATCGGCACCTTCCCACACATTGTCTGCATGGTTGTACTTACACATGGAAAACTGACCTGATTCCTCGCCTCTCCCATAAACAAGGCCATAAATATCATTATCCCTGGTGACTGTTACCAGTGTTCCATCAGGTATGTCTTCAGTGGAGGTGATGTACTGCCCTTCCTGTGGGTTCATGAACAGGAGTTCATCTTCCATTGTCCTGGAGAGGAAAGAAATTTATCTCAATCCAGTTTTAGCTCACTTACGTGCTATCATCCACAGGTTGTGACAAAGCAGACAGACACTATGTACAGTATTCAAAGGTTCATTGTACCTGAGAAATTCCCCTAGTTCTTTTTTACATGCACGATGGACAAGTGGACCACGGCTTAATTTGCCGTTGAAATTAGGATTAGAGTATATCTAATGACTGACACTGTAAAAATGTGAATTGCACCTGCCAAAAAAAATGTAATCATAAATGACATTGTGTAAGAATTATACCAGACCTTCTAGAAAGTTAGGCAAAGAAGACGTATAAGCATACACATACTCTATGTTGGACAGCAAAACCATTTCTGTGGTCATCCCAAGTCTCGGTTTCAGGTTGGGGTTCCTGGTCTGTACCACATTCCTGATGGCCCCAAAACTCCCATGATTTTCCCTGACCAGGGGGTGTTCCAAGATGGCTGCCGTGTCGTCTGAGGTCAGCAGGTTGAAGCGGATGTGAGAGAGGATGCTGGGTAGGTGCTGCAGTCTGTAGGGTACAGGGTAGGGGCTGAGCTTTTAACTGGTGGAACTAAACATGAGAAAATTAACACCCTGTGAATGTTATCAATAAAGTCAGGCTTCTTCAGTCATACCATGTATCCATACCATTATGACTAACTAGAAAAATGAAAGACGCCTGTAAACATAAGACTGCCGCCCACCTGTCCACCCTGCTGTGCTGCACCCATCTCACCACAGCCTCCCACACTCTTGTCTCCTCTTTAACCTCCAGCTTATCCTGGCTGATGATCTTAGTCAGCTGATCCACACTCAGGCTGCAGAACTCCTCACTGGAGGAAACCTGTAGAGGCCAGAAATAGTTTTGAATATTTGGCAATTAAATATATGAGTCTCCATTAAAATTTTTACCAGTAACTTAGAAGCAGGCTGGACAACCAAGTCTTCAACACAGTCTTAGTGGACTTGGGGTCTCCAGGGCCATTTGGTCTCCAAACTAGTAGTAGTATCAAAACAAAAATTTATCTTAGACTAAATAGAGTCTCTGATCACAATGTGAAAGAAGACAAACCTCCACAAAATGCTGACATATATACTGCAGACAACGATTCAGAATGACATCCACCATGAAGACCTCAGCAATTTTGTACAGGTCCACACAGGTGGAGCGCTCCACGTTCATGGCCATGTAGCTGCTGCAGGTGTCTCTCACATAGTCCAGCTGGAGGAGGTCGGCTGCCTGGTAAAGGGGCTGCACTCTGTCCAGGGACACATGGAGGGTTCCCGAGTAGATGTAACTCAGGATCTCCTCAAACATGTCTGCATCCAAACCCTAAAGAATACAACATCACAGTGTTTGAAAACTTCTACCCATGGCAACTGCCAAGTGTGTCTGTTCATTTTGTAATGGCCATAGGCCCTTTTGGACAAATCATAAAGAATCAATTTTCATCCCATTTACGGATCTTGGTTTCAAAATCCCAGTAAGAAAAGCGACTTTCAAAAATGCTAACTTGCGTCATGGAGGTTTTTTCTTACCTCCATGCTTACGTAAAGCCCGCAACAAATTTGACACCAAAAGGTGGGAAGGGGAGGGGGGTAACAAGCATCATAGGGAAAATTTATGAACTATTCCTACTCTTCCTGGTTCTGTGGATATGTGGCATCTTTTTAAAGTGTCTGTTTTTTTGTTCTTATTAACTCTATAAGCGTCAAACCTACCTGCAAAACAACCGTCTTCTGCCGACTTTCCGCCATGTCGCTTGTAAACATGGCTCTGAAGTAAGGGCTGGCCGCGGCCATAACAAGCCGATGGCAGGGAAACCGCCGGCCCTCGACTTCAAGGACGACATCCTGCAGTATTCCATCCTTCTGTAAGCCTTCCACAGCTCCAAGAAACCCGCGCTGATAGCTCTCGTCTTGGTAGGAACGAGGACGAACTGGGCTGGCGTGGGTTTCTTGGTCCGCGGCAGCCATGCTGATGATGATGAAGGGGCTGTACCTCCCAAAGGGAACTGTATACTAGTACGTACTATGATTACCCAAATAATGTAGCAACATGAAGCATATAGGGTATATAGAGGAGGACAGCCCGCCTCACTACATTTTACAAAACAGTCCGCAACAAGAGTTCCACGATCTCATACCTTCGCCAAATGATGTTAACCCTTGCGGGTGACGAATTATACAATTTTAATCATTGATTTTGTAAATAAGAGCCTCATTTGCATGGATTATATCAGTTGATCATATTCTCCATCCAATGACAGCCTTATCATAACAAAAGGGCTATTATAGCACTTCCTCATAAATTATGCAAATGTGGTCATGATTTGAATAAATTATGTTTATTGTTGTTCACCTTCACTTAACTTCCAAATGTGGCAAGTATGAAATTCGGGGTGCAGCAGTTACAACTATGGAACTTGCCATTCATTATGCAAATTAGGTCCTCATTTACATAATCTATATCCTCAGATGTTTTTCTAGTTCTCAAGTAGATGTCACGAGTGTTTCATACTTCTATTATCGAACAAAGCATATTTATAGAATTTCCTCAATGCAAATTAGCTCCTGATTTGCATAATTGCCATCTGATTATGTCAAGCATCACTTCAACTACCTACATACCAAAAATCACGACAATACATCAACCGGTTCTTGAGTTATCGTCCTTCAATTTTTTTCAACAAATGCTCCTGCAGTTCCAGAACAAGGCGCTAGGGGACCCAAACTCATGTCACTTCTTCTCTACCCCAAGAGCTATCTACCAACCAAAATTCGTGACCCTAGCATGTCCAGAACATGAGATATGAAAACCGGAAGTTCAGCTGCAGTACCTAGGAAAGCCGCCAGGGGGCCCAAAATCTAATCATTTCTAGGTCTCATAAAGACCCACCCACCTACCAAGTTTCATTCCAATCGATCCACTGCTTCTTGAGTTATCTTGATAAACCACACACAAACACACACACACACACACACACACACACAGACAAACGCTACTGAAAACATAACCTTCTTGGCGAAGGTAATAAGGTTTGACAGACAATATAACGATGCATCTACTCATTTTGGTTCTTCTACTGCGTATCTTTCACCAATAATGCTTACCGTCTCAATTAGCAATGCACACACGCGCGCACACACACACACACACACACATGCATACATACACACACACACACACACACATGCATACACATACACACACACACATACTTAAAATTGAAGATGGGCGCAAAATGTTTTTAAAATCGTAGTCAACTGTAGTGTTTGCGCCACAAGTACTTGGGTCTTTGTCATTACGATTACTGAATGGGGCCCTGAATTAGTCTAAGTACAACGGTACAAGCTTTCCAAATATGCATAATACACTCTATATTGCAAATGATGTTAAAGAACGAAACTCGATGGTTAACTGTCCGATTTTTGATAAAGCCCATAGGGAAAAACCTTGACCCGCCCGTCCGCAGCGCACTATGAACTTTTATTGACCTGTTTTATTGACGTTGGCAGAACTGAACCTTGTACCCCCAGGCAACGAACCGCCGGCCGTACGTACGTAGACCAAAACAATGTCGCTTCGGTGATGTTTTCCCCGCGCAGAAAGCTCTTCCCGGTACCCTAAGGTTTGTTTCTTCTTGTGCGTTACTTAACGCTTCGTATTTTGTGAATCTTGAGTTATTTTTACCCACTAGTTCTTCATCGCTGACGACTAATTTGTGTGTAAATTATGACCTAGTCTAGTAGGTTTCTGCCAGCGTACACTGGTCAGTGACACCTTTGTTCGACGCAGATATATAAGGTGAGATGTGCGTTGTCTTTACAATTCAATTCTCTCTCATATCAACATTGCAGACATACATATATTTAAATGTTGCCTGAATGACTTATATTAAAATAAACACATAAGAGTATATTGCGTTACGTACATATATACATAAATATATACATACATGTATTTCTAATATGAACTGTACATCCCAGACATAACGAAGTGCCATTTCTATTATATAGACAGTCTGATTGTAGAGTCTGATTTACTGATGTAGGAAAGAGTTCTGAAGTCTTTTTGTTCTGACGGGGGGATGGAGATGGTGTTTTTGTTTCTGATAGAATGCCCAGTAGCTAATAATGACCTAGAGACAGGGACAAGGTCATGTGGTATTCGTGGCGTGTTGTTTCTGTCATATTTCATAATAAGTCTGACTCGAAGTATAAATTCTTTATTGGACTGTAAGGCCTAGGATTCTGCATACTTGTGTATAAATAAACCACTAAATCAACACATTACTGCGATGTATGTCAGTCATCAACATGCGCACAGTTTCTCACTTACGGATGCTTGCATCGATGTCCTAATGTAATGATTATTTATCAATTGTGATTTTCTGATTTTGTTACCATAGTAACTAAAAAGAATTTGTTCCAACGACATTTTCGTGACATTTTCCAAAGTTTCCGGCGAATGGCTGTCCCGGGTTGGAGGGTGTTTACCTATAAGGTTGTTGGACTGAGGGTCAGAGGGCGGACAGGTCGTCTTCCCTACCTGCCAGCGATTCTGACAACTCAAGAACGATCATGCAGTGTCCAGTCAGGTCAGTGTAGATACATATAATACAACATAAACAACGCGCATTCTTATGCTACTAGCTATAGCGTTACCTGCAATGTAACACTAACAGTCTTCTGTTACTAGCGTTACCTGCATTTTAACGTTAACAATCTTATGTTACTAGCGCTACCTGCATTTTAACGCTAACAGTCTTATGTTATTAACATTACCTGCATACCTGCATAACGCTAACAGTCTTACATTAATAGCGTTACGTGCATTTTAACGACAACAACCACAGCTGTTACTTCCGATCGATAATGTCACTAATGAGTAACAAACAACAAACCTACAGTCCAGGGCATACATGATACATTCAAGATAAGGTCTGGTCCTACTCTTCAAGCAGAGCCGAAAAAATATACCAATACAAAAAAAGCCCGATAAAAAGCTTAAAAACACCCGAAACCTCTGGCCTTTCTTCTGAAAGATATACAGTAAATACAAGTCCGTAAAATTCATTTCGTATTTTTATATTAGCCCGATATGAGACCCAATATGAACCCAGCCACATGGTGGACTTTGCTGACTCAAGCAAGGTGTTTGTGACGAAGCCTACATGGGAGCTCGCCAGGGCCGTGCTGGTCCTACAGATGTGCTCGTCTGACGCCGTGGTGGACAACAGCCTCAGGGTACGACTGACCTTGACAGACCCAATTGTACAGAACACGTGACTCTGGGAAGTGTAACAATAGCAGCACGTCGGCAGAACGCCCTGACTGCACCTGGGCGAAACCTGTAATGCATTGTGCATAACACCTCGGCAGAAAGTCTCAAAAACATCGATCCCGTCTGTAGTTTGCAATTGCCCCAGATGTAATGTCGATAAAGATACCGTTGGCAACAGTACGTTCTGCCGACGCCTTACGATAGCAACGATGTGATTTGGTAGTCAGTAGCGACCCCCGTCTCGGTTCAATGAAGGTTGGTGGGTCCTGATGTAGATAGCTTCCTTTACTCCCTCAAGTAAAGACTATAAAAGAGAGATTGTGAATAGTTGGATATTTCCTTATCCTTGGTGAATATGTGTCAACAACGCAATTACCTACTCCACTGCCCCATGTACAACTCCCAACGCTCTACTCTCCTTGGCAAACTATCCAGGCTTATAGGACACACCCTAGATTTTACAACTCTTTTTGACAACGCTAAAACTGACCTTTTACTCCGTGGTAGTCCCGTATTCTCATCAGTTGTTAACTCCAATATATTATTACTTACCCAAAACTTTATCACCACATCAGAACGTTTTTAAAAGATTTCAATTTGCCCCTTTGTTATTCATGTACTGTGTCCTCTTTGCCATCATTTATCATTGGGTGGGGATCCGGACTTGCGCTTTTGAATTTCCTGTATATACTGTTTTTGCCTGTCCTAAAGTTTGTTTGTTTTTTTCTTTAGGCCATGTTGATTTGATTATATGGATGACATCCACGCGCGCATGAATTTTCGGCCGTTTCAAAAAAAAAGTTTTCAACCATACTGTAAATCGTACAAAACAGTTGCAAAATGAGCAAAAATATACCATAAGTTACAAAAAAAAATAATAAAAACTATACCA